ATGTAACCCAGCTTGCCCATTCAGTTCTCTCAATGTAACCCAGCTTGCCCAGACATTTCTCTCTAGGTAACCCAGCTTTTCCAGTCATTTCTTTCTAGGTAACCAATCTGTCCAGTCATTTCTTCTTATGAATCCATCTTGCCCAGTCATTTCTCTCAATGTAACCCAGCTTGCCCAGTCATTTCTCCTCAGTAAACAAGCCAGCCTAGTGAATGCTACCTCGGCCCATTCATTTCTCTCAATGTAACCCAGCTTGCCCATTCATTTCTCTTCATGTAACCCAGCTTGCCCATTCATTTCTCTCCATGTAACCCAGCTTGCCCATTCATTTCTCTCTATGCAACCCAGCTTGCCCATTCATTTCTCTCAATGTAACCCAGCTTGCCCATTCAGTTCTCTCCATGTAACCCAGCTTGCCCATTCATTTCTCTCTATGCAACCCAGCTTGCCCATTCATTTCTCTCAATGTAACCCAGCTTGCCCATTCAGTTCTCTCAATGTAACCCAGCTTGCCCAGACATTTCTCTCTAGGTAACCCAGCTTTTCCAGTCGTTTCTTTCTAGGTAACCAATCTGTCCAGTCATTTCTTCTTATGAATCCATCTTGCCCAGTCATTTGTCCCTAGGTACCCCAGCTGGCCCAGTCATTTCTCCTCAGTAAACAAGCCAGCCTAGTCAATGCTACCTCGGCCCATTCATTTCTCTCAATGTAACCCAGCTTGCCCATTCATTTCTCTTCATGTAACCCAGCTTTCCCATTCATTTCTCTCCATGTAACCCAGCTTGCCCATTCATTTCTCTCTATGTAACCCAGCTTGCCCATTCATTTCTCTCAATGTAACCCAGCTTGCCCAGACATTTCTCTCTAGGTAACCCAGCTTTTCCAGTCATTTCTTTCTAGGTAACCAATCTGTCCAGTCATTTCTTCTTATGAATCCATCTTGCCCAGTCATTTGTCCCTAGGTAACCCACCTTGCTTAGTCATTTCTCTCTTGGTGATCCTAGCTTGCTCAATCATTTATTTTTTGTTAATCCAGCTTCCCCATTCATTTCTTCCAGGGTAACCCAGCTTGCCCAGTCATTTACAGTGTTACATGTTATTCTGTTATTACTATTTTCATTACAGGTCTTGAAGAAGAGCAAAATGTTGGATTTCATGAACATGTTTTCCTAGATCATGAATTGAAGACCGGATTCCCCAAAAAAGGGCCAGTTAAACATTTTATGGAACTTGTAATTACCGGACTTTCTAAGAATGCTTATCTAACAGTCCAACAGAAGAAAGACCATATTGATTGGTTTAGAGTATACTTCAAAGACAAGAAAGCTGTTTTAAAAGAAGCTGGAGCTCTGTTGGAAGAAGATAATAGGAATCAAATAAAAAACTGAAAAAAGACAAAATTTAAACCCAAATTCCTCCATCCTATTGTGCAAATGTCTGACTAAAAGCAATGAGAAAAACGGAACACCTTGTTGATACAAATCAGACTTTGTATCCAGTCATACAAGTATGGACAGACAAACTGAAGCATATTACTATTAAATCATTGGCAATGCCATTAAGTACAGTTTCTTATCCTGTTTTTAAATTGATCTGATTTTTTTCCCCCACTTCATCGTTGATGTTGCATAGCGCCCTCTAGTGTTGGAATATGTATGCTGTGTGTAGGCGGTAACCTACTGGATATGAGATAATTATAATATTTTGTAATTCTGTAGACTGAAGAGAATTATGTGAATAAACAAAATCAATTTGCTTATTGATAAATGAAGAGTGGTTTATTTTAAATCTACTATAAGTGGAATGGAGAAGATGATGGGGATTGTCAAATACAATGTTTTGATAAATGTGCATATTATGAGGTTATTACGAGGATACCTCAAAGTATGTACGAAGACAGTACAGCTGGAGTAATGGTCGACAAGCAGCAGAGGTCGATGCGACGGTGTACTGTCTGAGCGAAATCTTTGTGTACTGTCTGAGCGAAATCTTTGTGTGGAGTCCGGTCAGACGCTGATGGCAGCCATGTTTGTTTTTACTATTAGAGGACACTTATGCGTGTAATCATTCCATATTTGGAATTCGCATTTCCTGAGGATGGGAGGATGAAAATACCACGTAAAATACCGCAAAACTACAGCACCCTGTAGCTTATGGAGTG